CAAAATAAACCTGTAAACCAATGGTACAGAATAGAAGACACAGAGACAAATTCACATAATTATAGTTATCTTATATTAGACAAAGGTGCCAAAAACATATATTGGAGAAAAGATAGCCTCTTCAACAAATGGTGGTGGGAAAACTAGAAATCCATATGCAACAAAATGAAATTAAACCCCTATCCCTCACCATAAACAAAACTCAACTCAAAGTGGATCATGGACCCAGGAACTAAACCAGAGACTCTATGTCTAATAGAAGAAAAAGTAGGACCTAATCTCTATCATGTGGAATTAGGCCCTGACTTCATTAATAAGATTCATATAGCACAAGAAATAAAATCAAGAATCAATAAATGGAATGAATTAAAACTAAAAAGCTTCTTCTCAGGAAAAGAAACATCAGTGAAGTAAAGAGAGAGCCTACAGAATGGGAGCAAATTGTTACCACATACACATCAGATAGAGCACTAATCTCCAGAATATATAAAGAACTCAAAAATCTTAACAGCAAGAAAACAAATAACTCAATCAATAAATGGGTCAAGGAACTGAACAGACACTTTGCAGAAGAGGATATACAATCAATCAAAAATATATGAAAAAATGTTCAACGTTTCTAGCAATTAGAGGAATGCAAATTAAAACTACTCTAAGATTTCATCTCATTCCAGTCAGAATGGAAGCTATTAAGAATACAAACAACAGTAAGTGTTGGCAAGGATATGGGGAAAAAGCACACTCATACATTGCTGGTTGGACTGCAAATTGGTACAGCCAATATGGAAAGCACTATGGAGATTCCTTGGAAAACTTGGAATGGAACCACCATTTCACACAGCTATCCCACTCCTTCCTTGGTTTATACACAAAAGACTTAAAAACATCATACTACAGGGACACAGCCACATCAATGTTTATAGCAGCCAAATTCACAGTAGCAAAATTGTGAAACCAACTTAGATAGCCTTCAGTAGATGAATGTATAAAGAAATTATGGTGAGAGAAAGGGATTCAGTTTCATTTTG